CCGCCGAGTCCCTCTTGCTGGGGAGGGTTTGGGAAGGGCAGAGGTGCCCATCACTGCTCCATCACACCAGTACCTGGGAGGCTTCCAGCTCTTTTCAAGCCAAGCAAAGCAGCTCCTCAGGGTTTTGGGTTTAAAACCAGAGCAGCACTACGAAGAAAAACAACCCAACGTCACCTCTGGGGTCACAGCTGATGACCAGGAATTCCCAAGACATTAGTGCAAGCCACCCCTCAGTGAACACCGGATACAGGCCAGGGAGAACAGAAAGGCAGAGAGAAGGAACAGTGACAAACCCATCCCAGGAACCGCAGCTCTGCAAGGACGGGCAGGCAGCCAGGCTTGCGCTCCGGGAACTTGCAGAGTACCCGTCCAGATTGCTTTGCGAAAACAAGGCGCTCTTACGCCGAGGGCAGTTCTGGAAAGTACACAGGATTCTTGCAACTGAGAGATGAAGCCTGGAAGAAGAAAAAAAAAAAAAAAAAGACACAAACATACGTTGCTCCAAGAAGCACGTCCAAGAACCTGTCACAGTAACACGAGGCACAAGAACTTGAAGATCGCAGGCGTCACTGATTTACTGACAAACAGCAGATCCTGGGGAGCAAAGGTCAGCCCTGGGAGCACATGGTTCTTCTCTACTCAGTACAGGCAGCAGATTCTCGGAGGACTTCCGAGAGCACACCGGTGACAGACCAGGCAATGACAAGGAGCTGAACAAGTGTTTCCTACTCCCTCACCCCCAAGGGAGCCTGTGTACTTGTCCTAATTTGTTTCCTCCATCCCTGCTAATCCTAACCACCCAGAGTAGAAGTTCCCACCGGGGAGAAGGGAATTAGATTTTCTCAAGGACAATAATCCATTTAAATACAGCACTTCTTAGGAGACTCAGCACTTTTCCCAGCAAGCAGCCCTGCTCTCTGCACAGCCTGCCCTGTCCCACATGCCCAGGGAGACAGAGCTGGGGCCCCATCCCTTAAGAGCACCATGCCGTCAGAGCAGAGGAGCTTGGAGGCCTTCCTCCAGGTCTTGCTTAAGAGGTGCTTTCAGTCCAAAAAGGCCTGAAGTCCCCTGTGGACTTGTTATCCCAGGGAAGCTAGAAAAGTCCTACCCTCACATCATTTAAACAGGGTTGGCTTGACACTCAGTTGAGCAAGACCCCAAGCACGTCATTCTCCCATGCTTGGGGGCACGAGCGTGTGCTGCTGTCATCAGGGGACACGCACAACCTCATTTCTTCCTCCCTGTACCTGCTGGCTGTGAAGTGCCATCACAAAACTGATCACCAGCAAAGGGATGTACTCACCTCATCATGCCACACTGCATCTGCTTCACTTGCCTGGAGGAGCTTCGGCAGCTCCAGAAACTCAGCGACGCTGGTCCTGCAGGAGTCGCGCGTGGGTCAGATGCCGAAGGCTGTGTGGGAACCGCTGACAAAGCCCCTTTGAGCTGCAGGCAACGCCAAGCCAGATCCCAGCATGCCTCCCCCTTTGGTAAACCAAGAAGTTACACAAACACAAGCTCCCTATTATCCAGCTCCCAAAAGTAATTTCAGATCAGAAACAGTCCAAAAGCCAATTTTAGAAAGTACCAGTTTATTTAAGGGGGGGGGAATAAAAATAAAATAAAGCAGTAACAGTGGAAAATCCCCAAGAGCAATTACACAAGAGAATCTAAACACCCAAAAAGCAGACACCACTCCTGCCTTCATGGTAGTGCTGTCCATGGGCAGTCAAGTCCCCTCCCTCTCCCTCCCAGTCCACAGTGACCTCTGTGAAGTTTTCGGAGACCAAAGTTTCCTCAAACACGTTATTTGTCCTAGAACAAGTGAATGAGTCAACCTGGAGGAGGACCCTTAGGAGAAGTCCTCTCCCATCGATGTCTCAATACAGCTTCCCTACATCCCCCACTTCGCCTGCCCAGCCCCAAGAAGCAGCTGCCACTGGCTGAAGCTGAACTTTTGTTCTATTGCCTCAATGAACTTGGCCTCGAGCCTAAAACAAAGGAGGCTTCAGCAGTTGATGAGATTTCCAAACACCCTTTGCAACCATCTGGTTTTGTGCTGTCTACCCAGTCACACAGGTTGGGGACCCACTCTCACATTTTGTCTTAACCCACACCAGATCCAGAGAGCTGCTGCCACTGGCTGAAGCTGAACTTTTGTTCTATTGCCTCAATGAACTTGGCCTCGAGCCTAAAACAAAGGAGGCTTCAGCAGTTGATGAGATTTCCAAACACCCTTTGCAACCATCTGGTTTTGTGCTGTCTACCCAGTCACACAGGTTGGGGACCCACTCTCACATTTTGTCTTAACCCACACCAGATCCAGAGAGCTGCAGGAGGACATGACTTGAACAAAGTCATTCTTCAACACCTCCCTGCAAGAGGCATCGGGGACACACATGGCCCTTCGCTCTAGGAGTGCTGGGGGGATGATCGAACTGCCTCAAGGCAGCAGCTACGTAGAGGCTCAATTAAAAAAGACCCACCACAGGAGGTTCAGAGCTCAAGAAAGTTCAGTGCTCCCAGCTGGGAGATGCCACCAAGGCAGGCCAGTCTTCTGCGAGAGGCAGGGACCCAGCACCATACCGCAGGGCGCTGCGGCGCCACGAGCGCCCAAAACAGAGTTATTTCCTCCATACTGGGAGCTTCCAAGAGCTGCTTCAGAGCAGCCCCAGCTGGGATCTCTGCTCCTGCTTCCAGGCATGGCCCAGGACGCAGCGACGGAGCCGCAGGGCTTGGGCTGCTCCCAGCTGCCTTCCCCGACACAAACCCACTCGTGCTCCAGACACGACCCCAGACAAACACCAGCACAAACAAGATCAAGCCTCTCCCACACAGTAAGGCTGCTGAAGAATTAACCCCAGCCATTTTCACTTTTAACTGTGTATTTCTCAGTAAAATATATAATATATAGCTCTATAGGACTGATTATAATATATTACAGACTAGAAATACTCTCATATTTCCCCACTTAAATCATATTATGAATCCAATTTTGCATACAGATTAATCCTAGAAACTGTCTTGAATTTATAATTAAAATTCACAGAATAAAGCTTAAATAGTTTTCACAGAGACTCATTATATTAGTGTTTTACATAAAAAGGTTAAAAGTTACCAAATGAAAACAGCCGTTTCAGAAACTATAAATAATTCTATTTTAAAAAAAAAAAAATCAAATCCTAAAAAAGTTATAGGAAAACTATAAATATCTTTACCCTCTACAACAGCTGCTATAGAACTAGAAGAAACCTGTAACACACTGTAGCTAGCTTTGCTTCAGCTCAGAATACAAATCATACATAACAACATCTCCATAAAAATGCCCGGCCAAAGGAAACACAAAGGGATTGAAAAAATAAATCTGAGGAAATTAAAAAAGTAGATTTTTTTTATTATTTCAAAACAATTTCTACAAACTTTATATAAACATTAGGCTATTTTCTTTCAACTTTTGTTATAAAAAAATCCTACACGCATTCCTTGAAAAAAAAAAAAGAAAGAAAAGAGACTGAAGGCAAGGAAAGGGTGTTATTATAGCCAAACAAAACTGGCTGTCCTGATTTCATGGACTAATGACCCTTGCCTGGGGCCAACAGGAAGAGACAGAAGTCTCCTGGGGAAGACATTCCCATAGGCCCTTTATGGCATTCAGGGATTTTGAGCCACTATGGGCCCTCCTCCTCCCTGATAAGGCAACATAATCTGTAGTGTAAGAGATTGATAAATAGTTCTCCACAAAAATGCTTCAACATCAACATCCCGCTGCAAGAAATCTATTAGCAAGGTTTATATATAAAAAAAAGAGCCATCTTCTATAGAAGCAGCCAATCCGAGCATGGCACACTGGCTACAAACACATGGTGTTTGCTTTCATACAGTCTGTTTTGTGTTTATATACCTTCTATAAAACCAAGCAGAAAATTTGGCATCTTGACTCTTTTTACACTAACTTTAGAAAAAAACAAATAAAATACACTGAGGTTTTTTTCAGACTCTTTGTATTTCATTGGGCCCTTGTTAGCTGAGCAGGATGGGAAGGGTCATGTAGGAAGTTTTTTCTCAAAGTTGCTTTGAAATTCAATCCAAAAAGAGCATTTGTTCAGCACATCTCATCTGAGGGCACAGTGTTTCCATACAGTCTGCTTGTCCCTGGATGGGCACAAGGCACCACTGAGATTTAGGCGTAGAACTCATTTGTAGGGGCTTTCTTGTAGATCGGTTTCTTCCCAAGGTCGTAACTGCCTTCATCCTTTTTCTTCATGCGATAGACTAAGAGGAGAATCAGGAAGACAGCAAACAGGAGGCCCACTGCTCCTCCTGCAATGAGAGCTGGGGAGGAAATAAAGAGCACAGAATAAGTCTAAACTCCTGGACAACTCCATCAGCTACACCCCAGAAATCTGCTTTCAGAGCACGAGCCCCTGGTGCCACCTCCACAGTCATGGCGACAGGCACATGGACGACGCTACATGCTGGCATTTTCAGCAACAGCAAATGTTAATGGAAAAAGGACAGAAAATGCTTTCAATTCAACCACAGAATAATCACATGTTCCACATTAACCAGTTTGTGTTAATCTTCCAGTTTATTGCAAAAAGGAATTTCAAAGAGACACATCCTCCCTACATAGAGATAAGCCAAAAAGAAAAAAAAACACAACAAACCACAACCACCAGACAAGAGCCCCACCACATTCCACAAACCATGTCAACTCTGGGAAAATGGTGTAGCTCTGATGTGTTTTATTAGCTACCCGTGTGAGCACACTCCGGGGACTCTGTACTTCAGCGAAACAGTAACAGCCTACTGCCATCACCACCTCCCTCCAGAAACCACCCCAACAACCAAAACCCACAAGCCACCAGCAAGATTCTTCTCTCTTCACAGTAAGGGTTGCCACAAGGCTTCAGTGAAGTTTATCCTCTGCTGTCACACCTACTCATTGCACTAAATCAGCCTTTCTGTTAGGTGGCTTTGCAATCCACACTTCCAGACACTCAAGCTGTCCCACATCCTAAGGGGCAGCCAGTCACTCAGTTTTGCTCTAGAGAGGTACTTAAATTTGTAACACATCCCCTAGAGGTGTTCACACCCCTTGGAGGGGTTGTTTGGTTCCTGGCGAGGCTCAGAACAGGCAGGACTTGGGCAGAGTTTAGAAGGAAAACACCAGTATTTAATGTGAAAGTCTATGATGTCATTGATTTATGGCTAGATATGCCTCAAGTTAGCATCAGGGTGCATAGAAGCTGCCACATGACTTGTGGCAGTAACATGCTGTTAATTCCTGGGCCAACAGTCAGCTGGCAGGCTCAAACCATGCTGTTTAGCCCAGCAGTAGGCTCCTCTGCTGTTTTAAGGACTAGGAGGCAGAAGTGACCCTGCTACAGGCAGGCACGGAGGTCACACATCCCAGCCCCTCAGTCAGCAGGGAATAGCACAAGCCATTCTGATCTACGGTATTAATGATTTATCAGGACAAGGTCCCCGTTCGGTCCCCATGTGTTGCCTGATCCAGTTAAGAGGCATCCCTGCCCACGACAGGGAGGATGGATCTCTAAGGTCCCTTCCAGCCTAGGCCACTCTATAATTCTATGAAGGTGGAGTATTACCTGTAAGGACTTCTGTTCTTTCAAAGATGCTGCTGTTGGCTGTGCTTGCCATGGAGATCTTGTTGGACAGGTTCTCCTCAACAGGTACAGCTTTGTCTGGAATGATTTCATTGTCCACCAGTGTGTTTTCCTTCTCACCTTCTATCTTTCTGTCAGTATCTCCAGGGATGTAGTTGTCAGATATCTGCAGAATATAGACAAACCACACCCGTCAGTAAGCAGCACCCAACCTACCCACAAATGAAAGTAGGAGGGTGTGCAGGGAAAAGTAAGTTTGCTTAGTGCATTATGAGTACACAGCTCCTGCTCATGCAGGTAGATTCATCTCAATGGCACGTCTCACACGGAGAAGGGCATTGAGGAAGCTTCACAGACAGACCAGAGTAGCTACGTGTGATTTAAAACATGCCAAGTCAATACCTACCACAGGAGCATCCACAGTGGTCAGATACAAGGCATCTTCAGAGTCTGAGTAGTCTGCAGTGGGGGTGGAAAGAAAAAAAAAATTAGGAGGAAAAAAACAAACAACAATCCACACAACCAAAAAGAAGAGGACACTAAGTTCTCCTCTCCTTAGATGCTGTTTTTCTAGAGTTCAGGCATTTCCTGCAACACCAACAACTGCAGGCAAATCAGGACTTCTGTTCTCTGCTGACTGCAATCCCCTCTTGTCTGTTAGTACTTTTGCCATTTAATGGTGTTGATTGCACAAGACCAGGAGATGGAATCTTAAGACCAAAACCTCTTGCATGGGAGGGTCTTCAGCCGGATCCACTGGCCCCTGCTGCAGGTTATCAGGAGCTGCCTTGCAAAGCAGGTCTGCTACAGCTTGCTAAGCTAATGCCACCCATCCCTAAAGGAGATTTCACCAACTCTCCAGTTACCAGATCTGCCCAAACACGTCAGACACCGATTTCAGCACTTGTTCTTTCCCTTTCAGGGAATAAGTGTTCACACAAAGGGGACACGGAGCTACAGAAACTGGTTTGGGCAGGGAGCTTTGCACGTCACTGAGTTCACTTGAACACCAGCTAGCTCTTTACCTTGTTCGGCCTCAGCTGAGATACCAACTTTAAGCCTTTTAATACTACTTCAACAATGAATTTATTTTTTTTTAAGTTTCTCGGTTCTTTGGAGTTCAACAGGAAAGAGATCCAGCCAGTGCAATGCCTTTTCACTTGCAGTAAGACAGGCTTGGCTGGACTCCATCTGTGCTCCCCGAGTGATTCAGCAGCACAGTACAACAACTTGCACTGTTCCCATCTGTGAGCGACTACAATTCACACAGCTTTCTCATCTCCACCTGACTCTGTAGTTCCCTCTGGTGCTCTGGCCATGCACTTAGCCCACCACACACGGGCTGGTGCCAGAAGGTGTTTTATAGCATCGACTGAGGGAGATCCATCTTCCCCCTTCCCCACTTACCTCCAGACCCAGACACCACATCTATATCTAACTCATCAGAAGTTAAGCGAGGCCTGAATTCACCAATGTCTTCATCATCTGGCAAGTCTCCAGAGGCAGGGTAGTCAAGCCATCGGGCATCCATGGTCTCCGTTTCTCTCACCTGCAAGCGAGGGTGGAGAAGTGTTAAATATCAGGCAATTCCTCAGAAGCATTTTGCAGAAGATCAGGGGTTCAGAGCCTGTGCTGAGCACATCACTTCCATCAAAAGAACATTAAATGCTGAACTTCCTCTCCACCAAAAGCATTATCTTCATCAGCATGGAAATAGCTGAATTTCCCCAGAATTTCTCAGAACAGAAGCGAGAACCAGCCTGGGAGGGGAATTTCCTGAAGATTCACGAGGTTCACTTGAACCCACAGGGTGAAAAATAACACAACAGGATCTTGGTCAGGAGTTTGTAGCAAAAGCATTTGAAAAACAATGCCTTCAGTTTGTGATAAGGGGGAAGGGATTTGGAAGAACTTTCAAATTGCCAAGGCAATTCATTGCTTCTTGCATTTAGAACACACCTCTTCTACCTATTCTATCACCCAAGGGTTAAAAACTGGTTTGTCAGTTGAGCTGAATTGCAGTGCAATATAGTGTGACATTCAAGAGCGCTTGCTATCAATAATTACTTGCCTGAAGGAAGAGGTTCCCCTGCCTCACCTCTTAAATGTAAACAAACAAGTGTGTAAAATCATGTCCTCAGTCCTACGGCCCAACTTGTTAACAAAACAAGAGAGCCTCCCAGAGAAATCAGCTGGTTGGCCACAATGGCAATTTACACAAGGGAGCTCATCTGCACTTGGTCCTTCAGGAAGCCACAAGCCTAAACCCTCATCAATGTTAATGCAGCTTCCTCAGAACTATTTCTCCTCATCCCACAGCCCTGGGGGCAGCCACAGTGAGGGTACCACAGGTATGAGCTCTTGGGTTGCTCAACACCAGCCTACAGATTCCAGCAGCTCCAGATGCTTCCAGAGACATGAAGTCACCGCTGTGATGGGGGACTCATGCCCTCCCCTCCGGCAAGGAGCACAATGCAGAGGGATGGGTCCCACAGCCAGGGGCTAAGCTGTCCACTTCTTTTCATGCTGTCCCCCTAGGAAGACTGGAAAGTCTGTCTGAAGGCGTATCTGCCCAGGAGAGCATTTTTAAAACATTCCATTATTCCACAGCCCTGCACAAGCTGCAGCCTTATGGGGAGTAAAGATCAGAGACTCACGGGGACAGGTAGAGCCAGGTGGCATCACCCAAGTCCCAGTACTTTGCTGCTTGGTCAGGGCAGCAGCAGGACCCGAAGCAGCTGGGATCAGCCCTGCTGCCTGCCCAGCAAAGTGTGGCCCATCCTACCACCCCACAGTGACAGCAGCTGACGAACAACATCCACTATCGATCTCACAAGCAAAGACCAACAATTAGCCACAAGCCATGCGTCAGCTTCCTCTGCCCACAGCCCCAGCCCAGATTTCCCTGCTCATCAGCATACTGGCTTTGCCACAAACGAGGCCTCGTGGTCAGGACAAGATGCTTCTCATTTTGCATAAGGAGCAGTGGCTACTAGATGTGCTCCTCATTAGCTAATTGAGGCATCGCTGGTATCCCCAGCTTCTCTGCTGGAGGCTGACCAAATGAACCGCGCAGAGGGCATGAAGCGCTGAGGCCAGCTCTCCTCCCAGACCCTCTGTCTCCATTCTGCCCCAGCCTGGCACTAGGTGGTGGGAAGAGGGTTGGGGAGGAAGGCCAGCTGGGAAGAAATCCTCCCTCCTAGCCTGGAACCGGGCATTCCTAACCTTAGGGATCACTCGCTCCAAGGCAAATTCATTTTAAGGTATGTGAAACCCAGCCAATGTCAGACCTGCAATGGAAACTGCTGCCAGCGTGCAGTAGCTGATCCCAGGGCAGCTTCGGGCCATTTCACCAAGGGCCTGGAAGAACCCAATTCCTGTCTGCCTCAGCGAGAGCACTGGGGCTGGGGAACACGTTTGCCGCAGATCTGTAGAACCCGGCTGCCACAGCAGGGCAGATCAGCGTTGGCAAGAGCGCCGAGCCACACCCCTGCGCCAGCTCACCCCGTACTTTGTTATGAATCACGGCCAGCTAATGTCCTAACGAGGGCAGCTCAAGAAAACGTGCATTTAAGCCATCGAGTGGCTGGACAGCAGGCTGGCCTTATCAGATCAGTCCAGCCGCGAGCAAGGTGGTGGCAGCCAGCCATGGCGACTAGTACATGCTGCGGAACGCACCAGGTTTGGCTATCAGAAAACCCCATTTAAATCAGGACAGACAGTGTTTACAAGCCAGAGGACATAACAAGGAAATTACTGACTCACAAACGTAAATAAGATTATATGGGAGCGTTCCCTGAACTCACTCTTCATCATCCTCTTGAGCAAGGACAGGGAAGTTCCTGGAAGCCACGAGAACTTGCAGTCCCGTACAGGACTTCTCTTGCAGGCAGTGAGCCTCATTTTACAGACTGATCTGCCAGGGATGCCAGAGGGCTGCTGTGCTCCTCTGTGCTTACCCTCTAAGGCTTCAAGACATGCTCTCTCAGGGAGCAGGCTCCTACAAGGAGCTGAGGAAGAGTTAACACTGAAGGGCAGGTCTGAAGCAGGAGCATTCCTCACATACACACCTGCAAGAGGGCACACAGGCACTTTCACAGACTTAATAAAGGCTGAAGGCTTCCCAAGTGCCACAAAAAGAGCTCCTTGGAGCATTGCTGAAAAAGTGGATCCCTTTCCAAGAGGATTCAGCCCTCCCCACAGCTCCACTACCAGGCAAAGAGGCACCACGGAAGGTGCCCGTGCTGCAGCCAAGAGGAAAAAAACCTAGGAGACTGCAGCAGGATGACAGCGAGCCCTTGCCAAGCAGCCTCTGGCCACATTCAGCTTAACACCTTCTGCAACTGCCAGCTGAAGAAGGGCACCAGCGCAGCTCAGTCTGCTCTTCCACCACCTGTCACCCCAGCACTGGAGTAGGGCCAGGGACTTGCTGGGAGACTCAGGCTGGGCAGCTGCACAGCCCCACCTCATCCCAGCAGCTGTAAGTTGAGCCCTGCTATTAATATGTTCCCCTCTAGGAAGGGTCCATACAGAAATCAACCTTTTCTGCAGGAGTCTAGTTCCAGGATTTCCTCCTTATGTTAAGCAGGTTTATCCCCAGTAAGCACCAAGTGAGATTAACCAACATGCTTGGGACCAGAAGCTTTTCCTGCCTGCCAATGGCAAAAAAAAAAAATTATTCCCTGCCAGATGACCAGCACGTCAGGCACGTGAACTCTGAACATCATTCCTGGAAAAGCTGGGCACAAAGGTCTCATGTTTGACCCCGAGACAGGCTGCACCACTGGACTTAGCCAGACACTGTTTGCTCAGCTCAAGCACAGGAATCACAGCCCTGGCACCCAGGCAGGCGCTCACAGCCCTGCTGTGCTCCAGCCCCAGCCCACCCTGCTCCTATTCCTGTTCCTGGGACCTTCACTTACAGCCCCAGCATACCACTAGCCTCCTCTCACAGCAAGAACTTCTCTTTATTGAGGCAGCAAACAAAGTTTCTGCCTGAAGTGTGAATTTCCCCAATGGCTGGCCAGTTCTGGGAAACAACAAACCCAGCCTGACTGCTCCAGCCCACGTGTCCTCACCACAGCTTTTGCAAACCTTTAAAAAACAAAATAACACAAAAAATCAAATAATGTTTTGGGGCAGGGACACAGTCTTCCAGACACGGAACTAGCTTTTACAGCTGGCTCTTGTCTCTGATCAAACACACCAGAGTTCATTAAAAGCTTCTTTGAAGGGTCAGAGCCAGCAAGCTGCAAAGGAGTCAGACCTGCAGAGACTCGGGTATCCAAAGCGCAGGCAGCTCTTTATCAAGTTTATAACTTTGGCGTGGAAACCCAGCGCTTGCTCCTGCTCTCCCTCCCCAGCACTGTGTACACAAGGCTAGGAGTAAACAGGAGCAAGGTGAAAGTCAATCTTTCCTAGACAAAAGCAGGTTGAGCTGGGCTAGCCTGGGAGGTGGCAGAAGAGGGGGCAGAGGTGCAGACTTGTTAACTCTTTGTAGCCTGCAGGGACAGAGGAATTTCAGCTGCTCCCAGGGCTTTTCTCAGGTGCTCTGTACTAGGGGAGAGTTGTACAGATCATCTCCTTTCACTTCAGTGAGCAGCGTTACACAAAATGTCTTTCCCAGACCTGTGCTGTCACCTCACACCACCACATGCACATCTAGATCAGCTTAACAAGAAAAGAGAGTAGATTTAAATTAGGTAACAGGAAGAAATTCTTTGCTGTGAGGGTGGTGAGACACTGGAAGAGATTGCCTTGAGAGTCTGTAGATTTCCCCTCCCTGGAAGAGTCCTTAAGCCAGGCTGGACAGGGCTTTGAGCTAACCTAGGCGTCCCTGCCCATGGCAGGGGGGTTGAACTAGATGATCTTTAAGGTCCCTTCCAACCCAAACCATTCCATGGTTAGCTGCCCATATGGCCCAGCCTTGTTATTAAGAGATCATCCTCACAAAGCCACCACCTTGGCCCCCACGCTGTCCAAAGCTGAACCAAAGAGTACCGAATCTAAGGGGTCTTTCCAGTGCAAGGATGCAAAGCTCTACAAACCACCGAGCCCATGAGAGGGGATTTCCGCTCACTTCCACCAAGTTCTCGCAGGAACACACAAACCAGGAAGGTTTTAAAGTTCACACAGAGCATGCAAAGCAGCAGGAGTTAGGAGCTGAGCTCACCCCTCAAAGCAACCATGCAGTGAGGTAACAGGCAAAGACAGCTCTATCTTCCCATCCAAATATGCATTACAAGAATGTTATTAGAAGTGACATGAGCACCCTGCAGAGGCAACTCCCAACAGACTAGTACAGGAAGGGTCTGTATTTTCCTCCCCCAAATATCCTCTACTCCCTTCACCTCCTTCTACGTATCGATTAAAAAAAAACAAACAAAACCAAAAAAACACCAAGCAAAAGCACGTGAAAATCACACCCACAGAAGCCACTTTTGTTCTGAAGGTAAAGCAAATATCAATATTTCAATCCAGGTAGCACCTAATACCAAAACAACAACTACGGTAAAAAAAAACAAACAACAAAAACAACAAACAA